TAAATCGTCATCTTATTTACTCAATTATTACCAAAAATGACTTCAATTTTTACCGCTTTCTGTTACATTTTGAATTGCAGTTCCTCAGGCAGGTCTATTAGTGGAACCGCTACATACAGGAGTGATAAAGGAAGTCAAATTTATAGGGACATCGTTTTCAAAGGATTCCCCACCAGTAATCAACTCATTTCGAATTTCCAAAAAAATTCTATCATCCTATTTGTTGGAAGATATGTTTATGAAGATGATGAAGAATATGTATGTATGAGAAATGTGTGCATTTATATATGTGTATTTTTTTTTCCCCCAACCCTGACAAAATAATTGTGCAAAAGGAAATTTACCATTTTGAAATTGATGGCAAAAGTGCATCAAGACAACAATTTCCTCTCCAAAATGCATTCGCTTTGACTGTTCACAAAACCCAAGGTTTAACCTTGCCACACATAATGCTAAATGTTGATGAAAACATGTTTGCAGAAGGTCAAGTATATGTTGCGATGAGCCATGCCACTTCGCTGGATAAGTTGCACATCTTGGGATTTGACTATTCCCAGCTAAAAGTCTCTAGAGCAGCCTTAGAAGAATATAAAAGATTGGAAGTTGTGAATAACAATGGGTTGCAATCGTTACAATCATTATAAATAATAACACCAACAACAATGATAACAATGTTATAAATAATAATACTGACAACAACAACAATGATAATGGTTGCATGTTTTCCCCTCCTTGATGATTGTGTAAAAAAAAAACGTATTAAATAAAAATTTAAAATTTTGTAAAATTGAATTCGCCCAATGAAATTTAAGATGGGCATGAGTCATTCTGTTGTCTGTGAAACGTGAACTTTGATACGTTAATGTTGATGTGGCTCACATCAACCGATCCCTTCCCTTCTAAACTTGTTTAAAATTTAAACGTTCCTTTTTTTTCTTTAGGAAAAAAACCTTGCCGAGACTTGCTGGAACTTGAAGAAAAAAAAAGCGGGAGAAAACAAAATTGTTTCACTAAATAAAATAAAAATTTTCCTCTCAATAAAAATTTATTTGTTAATCCCTCCTCTCTTTCAACGAAAATGAGTCACCCCAAATTCGCTTTGGTAAAAGCTTATGCTTTGGAGTAAGTAGTTCACATTTGCATTTACAAATTGAATAAATTTCATACTCACAAATTCATGCATGATTTTTGTAGCTGGATTATGGTTATTATATTTCTAGGTGGATTTTTCGGAATAAGTAGGCTTGAACCTTATCATCGATTATTTTCATTAGAGGATAAATCAATTCAATATACATATGCTGAAAAAGAAAGGGTTCCAATGTGGTTGGCAGCCGTTAGTAAATCAAAGATAATTTTTGATTTTTTGATGATTAAATTTTTACTAAATATTATATTATATAGTTGTTGGTAATGGTGGGCCCACTAATTTTCATGACATTTACAGCTTTAGTAATTAAAAGGAGTACACATGATTGGCATCACTCTTGTCTAGGATTTGCCTTATCTATGACAATGACTCTTGTTGTTACTGAAATTATCAAAGTATGTTTTCTTGTTAATAATAAAAACAATAATAATTTATCTCATATTTCGCTTTCAAATTAATAATATTTAATGTATTTATTTGATTTATTTATAGAATACGTCAGGTAGACCTCGGCCGGATTTCATTGATAGATGTCAGCCAATAACAGGCGCAGTTGATTCGCCTGTATATGGGTTAAGTAATTCATCGATATGTACTCGGGGAGATTCGGCAATTCTGAGAGATGGTTTTAAAAGTTTAGTATCTGGACATGCATCTAGTAAGTATATGATTGATTTATGTACACATACATATGCTTAAATGCTCAAATATTTTAATATATCATTTATTATGATAGCTGCATTTGCTGGTATGGGTTATTTTAGCTTATACCTCGCTGGAAAATTACATGTATTTGATAGAAAAGGCTACACATACAAAAGCTTTGTTGTGGTTACTCCTTTGGTCATTGCTATACTTATTTGTATTTCAAGAACTCAAGATTATCGTCATCATTGGCAAGATGTGTTTGCAGGAAGTACTCTTGGTAGCAATATTATTTAATTGGTATTACTTTGTTTTATTAAAAAAAGAAAATTTTTCATTAAAAAAATTTTTTTTTTTTGGATTCTAGGTTTTATATTAGCAATATTTTCTTATTATCAATACTACCCCAGCATTCACTCACCAGTTTGTGATAAACCATACTCTGTCAGATTAAAGAAAAAAGTGCCTGGTCGTTCTGCAGAATTTGAATTTGCAGATGGCTCTAATTTCACAGTAAAAATTACCAGGGAAGACGGCGGTCTTGTATATCAAGATAATAGGGCTCTTCTGAGTTATGATGCTGATTCTTTAGACAATATTAGCAAAGCCTCTAGTAGTTCTAATGTTTAAAAAATTTATTATTAAAAAAAAAAGTGAAATAGAAATACCATGTTGTTGTACAATTATGGTTACTTTGTATATTTAATTTTATATGATTATGATATTTACGACCTTTAGAAATAATTGGTGGACCAAGCCATTTTTCTATTTTTCTTTCCACAATTATAATAAATTGAATATTTATTTTTTCTAGCTTTATTCATTACTCGTTTCTGAATTTCTCATTTTTTGATCCATATCAATAAATCTTTAAGCCTTTCAATCTGACGACCTTCAACTTCAAAGAATTGATTGAATGGTATATTTTTATATAACATTATTATGATTGTCAAATAAGACACGCACTTTCCCAAATTCAATAAATCTTGACAAAAAAAATTTTGGTTGCCGACATTTATGCAATTGTTAATGATATTATTTCCAATGCTCAACTCTAGCTATTATTATCCTTGGAAGATATATCATAATGTTAATATATCAGGTTTCCTTTTTTTTTTAGGAATTTTTAAATGGTTCAAATTCGAAATAATGTATGATATGAAACAGAAAACAAAATACGCTAGTCTAAAAACCATTTTGATTTTTTATAGAAAGAATAGGAAACGGAAAGGTCATTTTGTATGAGAAATATTATATTAATATTAATAATTAATTAAATAAATTTGCTTTTTTTTAAAAAAAAAATAAAATGTGGATAGAAAGTGAAAAAAAAACAAAATATTTAATAATTTTTTGTATTATTTTGTCACTGATTTATTTAAACATCATAATTTTACTATTACTATTTTATGATGACGGTGACGTTAACAACTCCAATAATAAATTTGGTAAATTTGAGTTACATGATTCCACAAAAAAAATCAACAACGAACAAAATAGCCTATTTGAATCATTAAATCAAAAATACTGTGGACAAACACAATGTAAATTTTTATTTTTATACTCCAACATCAACAACTATAGCAACAGAGATTCCTTGACAAATCCAAATAGAAATGCAAATTTACTTAAATTCTTTATAAATTTAGCCAAATCTTTAGAATACACAATTGTATTACCAAATGTCGGTTTCAGTGATGGCAATGATGATAATAACAATCTTGGTGGTCAATTAAGAATTGATGCATGTCAGAAATATCCTTTTGGCTTTTATTATGATGTTGATAATCTTGAATCGAAATTTTTGGAAGCTCAATTTATTTCTCAGTCTAATTTTTCAAATTGGTTAATAGAACGTAATGAAATCATTCATAATAATTTTAATGGTAATGATGATAAAAAAAGAAAAGATTTGGAATTAAAAGTTGAACATTTAAATTTAAATCTGAGGTTGAATCAGGAGACAGAAGAGCTATTAATAAGTTTTGAAGAACCATTGGTGGAATACGTTCAGAACGAGATTATGATTCAAGGATGTTTAGAACAATTTAATAACAATAACAATAATAGTGAAAGAGGAGGAGGAGCATTTAATTTAACAAGATTGTATTTATTAGATAAAATGGTATTTAAAGAAGTTAGAATAAATTATATAAATTTTGAGTCAAGCAAAGAGATGATGAAATATTTAAAAAAAGACTTGGTCAACAGTTTTAATGGGAAATCTGATATTATAATGATCAATCAACATGATCTTGGAATATATTATAATATTATGTACCCTGGAGAAATAAATCTCATTAAACATTCCGAATTAATTTTACAAGAAGCAAATGAAAATATTAAAAAATTAAATAATTACATGACGATTACTCTTAATCTAAAGAACAATAATGATTATGATCATGATTATTCTGAATTGGAAATTGATAATTGTTTGGATAAACTAATTGTAAAAATTCAAGAATTAAAATCACAATCAAAGATTGATAATGTTTATTATCAATTCACAAATAAGGATAATAATTATGAAAACTATCTATTTTTAATGAATGAATTTGAAAAGTCAGATTTGAAATTAAAGAATGCAAGAATAAATTCTAGCCTAATAATGGAAAAAAGAAATTCAGAGAATTATAATACAGGAATACATTATATTTTGGATAGGTTAATTAGTAAGAATTCAACTTATTTTGTAGGTGATAAAAATACTTGTTCCAAACATTTTAGTATTATTAGGAATGGTATCAATGATGCTATTTTCATTGAGATATAACTTAATTTTTGTAGTTTATTAATTAGTTTCTAAAATTATAAAATTGTATATTATTGTTGTTGTATTATTATTATTATTATTATTATTATTAGAGGACCCAAGCAATCTTAGAAGATGGTATATTTCAAATTTTGGGTAGAAATGGTCTCCAAAATTGAGTATCATTTTTTTAATAGAATAGATTTTGTGAAATCTCAAAAATCATTTCTAAAATGGTAATAAAGTGGGTAGAAATTATTTATTACATTCACAGCCCATGTAGAAAATTTTCAAAAGGTTATACCTTTATCCCTTATACAACTTCAGCCTGGGATAACATATAATAGTAAAGCTCCGAGCAGATCGATTTCGGTTTAACTTCGGGTTTTAAATTATTGGACACAAAAAAAAAATTTTTATTTTTCAAGTACAGTCAAACCTCGTTTCAATAAAGTGGCTGGACATATAAGATAGATAATCGTGTTTTTGTATGTTTTCATAATGTGTAACAAGATTTTTAAAAATTCGTTGTAACGCGAATTTAATTATTATTCTCTGAAACGAAGTTCATTGAAACGAGGGTTTGACTATAGGGATATCCCTCCTTATCAATCTTATCATTCTTTGGGTATTGGTTGGATAATTTGACAAACTAGCTGATCAGATATATCTGTGCGTTTATATTTCCCCCCCCCCCCCCCCTCACCAGCTAAAGCTTGCAGTGTTGGAATATGACCAGTCATTCATAAAGGGCATGACTTATGCAAATCTTTACAAATATGGTAATTCACAAATTGGTAATAGCCCTGACTGCAGTGAATTTCGGTTTAGCAGATACTAATTAAAAATCATTTGTTTAACGAGTTCAAAGAATGGTTCCATAATAAATCATTCTTGATATAATGGATTTTTGGAAAATTTTCCCTAATTGCTGTTAAACCAAGATTCACTGTATACCGGTGATTTAGTTTGTTTATGGTAGTGATTTTTTCAGTCAGCCAATAGAATCTTTGAAATTAGATATAAATTTTCTAGCTTTAATATATTACTATTAGAAAAAAGGAACATAAAAAAAGTATTAGCATCTTTTTGGTGGGTAACAAAGTCACAACTTAAAGCATATCCCTAGTTTTAATTAGAATACAATTAAAAATTTATTAATAAATAAATGTAATTAAAATTTTAAATTATACAGTGATAATCCATTCTTTTTCTCCATCTTTTGGTTCAACTGTTGCTGCCTTTGTAAGTTTATCCATACAAGCTAAACGAATTTTTTCAGGTGTGGCAGGTGATTGAAGAACTACCACTTTATGATTATCATTAGCTTTCCTTAATATATTAAATGATTAAAATTATTAAATAATTTAACCAACCAATCAACCAATCAACTAGCAAGTAATATTGTTATTACCTTGCATATTTAATAGCGTCTCTTATTGCATAATATACAGAACTCCCTAAAAACAATGGAGGCTCACCAACACCTTTACTACTATGAATGGTTTTTAAACTTGAATATTGTGCTTTATTAAAGGTACTTATCCTAAAATCTTGTGGAATATCTCTGATGAAATAGATAATATGTATTTTATTGTATTTTATAGATGTAATCAAATTTATATTTTAAATATACTTACCTAAAACCAGGGATTTTATAATTCCCAGGCCCTTTAGTAAAAATGTGGCCATTTGGAAAAAATAAAGTCTCTTCAATTGTACACCACCCAACTCCTTGAATAAATGCACCTTCAATTTGTCCAATATCAATTGCATAATTTAAACTACGCCCAATATCCATACAAAGATCTGTTCTTAATATTTGATGATCACCTGTTAGGACATCTATTTCAACTTCTGTTAATGCAACACCTGTTGTAAAATAAAAAAACAGGTTTCCTTCATTTTTATCCCAATCATATCCAATATCAGGTGTTTTATAAAACCCATTGGCTGATAAATTAACACGATCTATATATGCAGCATGACAAATCTATAACCAATAAATAAATAAATAAATTGTAAATTATTTTATAAAATATAAATAATAATGATGACAATGACAAAACTTAAAAATAAAAACCTCTTGAAACTTTTTATCAGGCATTTTTTCACGATATGGCTTCAACCTCTCTGCTAATATTTTGCAAGCATTTGCCAATGCATATCCATTAATATCACTACTAACACTTGCTGCTGTAGCAGATGTATTGGCAACTAAGTTTGTAGATGTTTCCATAATATGTACTGTGTTTAAAGAATGTTAAAATTTATTATAATTACTTATATAAATAATTTCATCAAAGAATATATATATAGTAAAAACTATGGTGAAAATCTTACCATTCTCTATTGGTATATCCAAAGCTTCAGAAGCAATTTGTATCATTTTAGTGTGTAAACCCTGTCCCATTTCAACACCACCTATTAAATAACAGCACTATCATTAGATATTTAATTGGCAAATACTTATGTTACAAATATCTATTAGTTTAATAACAATCTTACCATGACTAATAAGAACACTTCCATCATTATAAATATGTACTAATGCACCAGCCTGATTCAAATGCAAAGTAGTATAAGAAATGCCGAATTTAGTTGGAATTAAAGCTAAACCTTTTTTACGCCACCTATTTCTAGAATTAAAAACATCTATTTCTTTTCTTCGATTATAATAATCACCAGTTTCTATTACTTGTTGATAAATTGCAGGAATATGCCAATCCTTGAGGATTTGATTGTAATGAGTTTTTTGTTCTTCTTTGTAAAAATTCTTTTGCTAATATATTATAAGCTATTAGTACTTTTTGAAAAATAATTAAGCATAGTTGAAAGTCTTTCACAATATTTACTCGCAATTCAATAGCATCCATTCCAAGTTGATCTGCAACTTCGTTTATTATGTTCTCTGTAATCATCATCCCTTGTGGTCCACCGAATCCTCTAAATGCAGTGTTCGAATGAATATTTGTCCTACATACTCTACCAACAACTCTAAAATTTGGTATATAATAACAATTATCTGAATGTGTAATAGCACGTTCAACAACAGCTGATGACAAATCTCTAGACCATCCTGCATTATTATAAATCTGATAAATAACATTATTAGTTAACATGTCATTTTAAATTAAAAAAATGCTAGAATGTTTGTATTAAAAACAACTTTATAAATTAATTTCCTACCTGTAAATCAAAAGCAACAAATTTTCCATCTTTATTGACACCAACCCTCCAATATGCAAGGAATGGATGCCTTTGCCCTGAAATGATTATATCTTCATCTCTATCTAACATACATCTAATTGGTCTTTTTAAGTGCCATGCTCCAACTGTCAATGCTAATGTCAAAGGGATGCTTCTTGTTTCCTTACCACCAAACCCACCACCAAGTCGTTTTACCCGACAAACAATTTTGTTGGCAGGAATACCTAAAACAGACGCACATATTAATTGCGTCTCTGTTGGATTTTGAGTAGAAACATGGATTTCGAACTCATTATCCTCAGATTTGGGAATTACCAAACTGGAATTGGTTTCTAAATAAAAATGTTCTAATTCAAACAAAATATGTCAGTTTTCAATTCTGCTAAATAAAATATTTATTGATTAGATTATAATTTTGTGCGAAACCTTGTCCACCAATTCTTGTTTCTCCTATATTATGTAAAATGAAGATATAAAATAAGTTTTTTTATTTTAAATAATATTGTAGATTTTCACATAATTCGATTACCCTCGAAAACAAAGTCAGCTTCCTTCAATGCTTTATCTACATCTCCTTTATTAATGGTTCTATGTACGGGAAAAAAGCTATTATTCTCAATAGCTTCCTCAATTGATAGTATATATGGTAATTCCTCGTATTCCACTTTGACCAAGTTAACAGCTTCTTGGGCAATTGATTGATTTTCAGCAACAATCAATCCAATAATTTGTCCTGCAAATTTAATATAATGTATATGTATACGTATATAACTTTATTAATAATAAAATATTTATGATAAAGCACCTTTTTGCTATAAAATAAAACTTGCCTACACAATGTACTTTTTCACTTGCAAACACTTCCTCATCATGAGACACTGGTCCCCAAATATTTTGACCTGGAACATCTTTTGCTGTAAAAAATCCCTTTACACCAGGTTGTGATAATGCTATAATTGCATCAATACTATCAAGGAAACGAACTGGTTAATGAAAGAATATAACTTATATATAAAAGTTGTCAATAAAAATTTTTTTTTAAAAAAAAGAATTACTTTAAAATTTTAGCATGAGGTTTTTGTGAAAGCAATAAGGCACCATATAATTCACCATGTACTTTAGGAATATCATCAGTATATATTGCTGTGCCAGTTACTTGTTTCATAGCAGATATATGAGGAATTGTTTTTCCGATTGGTTTTTTATCATCACTATCATAAATAATATATACTTTGTTATTATGAATGTAAAAAAAGATGCTACGGGATTATATATTATAACTTACTTTGATTTTCCAATGAGTTGAATGCCTTTAGAAATCTCACGTTCAATAATTCCAAAAAAATTTTCATCGGAAATTGCTTTAATACCAACAGAATTAGCAACATCATACCAAAACTTATATATGAATCCTGCAACAAGGGATCTACGATATGATGGCATCCCTCCAGGAGTAGAAAAGCTTAGTTGTAACTCCTGAAACCGTGTAAATGATCAGCTCAAGTTTAATATATTATATATATAGTAACTTGATGATTTTTTACCTCGTATAAATTTGAAATCAAAGCATTTAAAATAACCTCATCACCCCATTTTTTATTTAAAACAAATTTTTCAGAATTATATGCACGCATAGTTACTCCGCTCATTCCTCCAAATGCAAACAAAGCTTCACGAACTGTATTATTATTATCTAACAATACCGAAAATCCTGCGTTAACTATGGAAATGTCATCATCACGTCTCTTTGCCTGCTTATAAGCTCTTACATATTGGCCTAACTTGGAACAGGGAATAAATATCTTATGCAAAATCTCAATATTAGACAATATATTTTGTCTATAACTGGTCCAAAAGGATGAAGATGGTATTGTACGTGTTGAATTTTCAGATTTTAAGATAAATTTTGTTTGAGTTGATAAAAATATTGGATTCAAGTCAGAAATTGGAGAGCCAGTGACAATATTTCCAGCTGGAGTAGCAACATTACGAATTTGGTTCCCAGAAAACCAACGTAAATTTGCCATTAGTGATTTGAATACTTCAATTTGATGCAACTTATAAGTTTAGTTCATAAATTAAAGATATAAATATATATAATTATAAACGAGAATTTTTTTTAAAAAAATAGATATAATATCGAGATAAATACCTGATAATGATTACAAGCATCTTGTAAAATCTTTTGAAATTTTGAAAGACTTATATTTCCACCAATCAAAATACCATCATCTAAGAATATAAATTGAAATCATTATGGAGTTTAAATAAGATAAGCCAATCAACCAACCAGCTAAATTTACCTTGAAAATTACAAGTTTTCAATTCTGAAATATCACTGACATATATTTGTACATTATATTTCATTTTTTTGAATTTTGTCTCTATACCAACTTCAGTGTTACCAGATACTATTTTAGAAGCTGGATATTTGGATTTCAATTTCAATAATTGTTCTAGATTAACAGGTCTAAACCATGTTGTTTTCCTTCCAATAAAATAAAGTGGTTGTAATGAATATTTCATAAGAGGTGGCGGAAAGATTAATTCTTGTGAAGGATCATATTTAATAAAATCAACCTTATACATTAAACATAATTCTTTAATTAATATCATTTTAAGTATATTAAAGGATAATAAAAATAAATTAGGAAATATTAATAAATACTTTTGGAAAATTGAAATTAAATTCATCCCCATTATTAATATCATCATTCAATTTACAACATTTATTAAGACCACAGCCTTTAATCTATAACAGATTAATGAGTTAAATTAACTTTTAACAATGAAGTAATATATGTATTTAAGTATTTAATACCTTTACACTTTCCTGGATAATATTAATATTATCATCTTCATAATCATTATTTTTGTTTGAGGATGCAAACTAATTAAAAACAACACATGTGTAAATTTCTAATAATGAACATTAATTAATAAATTTTCTTAATTTATTTTCTATAATCAAATACATACAGTTTTAGCAGCATCTAGTATAGGACGATAACCTGTACATCTACATAAATTTCCTAGAATAAAATCAAATATACAACTTAATTGAAATTTGTTATAATTATTTGGATTCAATTGTTTATTATTTTTTTACCATCGAAGCATTCTTCAATTTCCTTTTCTGTTGGATTTGGGTTATTACGTAATAATACATAAAGAGACATAGCAATACCCGGGGTACAAAATCCACATTGTGACCTGAATATATATGGTCAATTGGTGACAATAAAAATCGATTAAATTTTGATTTAAAATTTCATACTCACCCATGCATTAAAGCTATTCTTTCCTATATATGTGATAAAAGCAAATAAATATAAATTATTTTTAAAAGAAAAATTATACTAAAATTAAAATATACCTGAACAGGATGCGGTTTTTGAATATTTCCAATGCCTTCAATTGTAACCACATGTTTTCCATCCATAGAACATAATGGTGCAAGGCATGCATTAACTGAATTATGAATTATTTCTCGAGTAATTGGATCATAAGATGATACCATGACTGTACAAGCACCTAATGAATATTGTTGATAATAATAATGATATTTCAATAAATAAATAGTCCAGATATTATCAAGGCAACTAATATACAAAATACACTGTACCACAGCCTCCCTCAGCACATCCTAACTTGGTCCTTGTAAAATTATTAATAATTTTCAATGAATAATATAAATAAATAAACAAACATTTATCATTTAACTATATACTCACCCAGTTAAACCAACAGAACGAACATATTGTAATAAGGTTAAATCGGGATCAGGGTTAACCAATTCAACACTTGTACCGTTAAGATAAAATGTTAGTTTTGAAGAGAAATTAGCGAGCTCTGCCATTATTGTTTTATTTTATTCACTATTAAATTTTTTTAAAGAAATATTCAATTTGATCCATCCATAGAACAATAGAATAGCCGGGAAATTGTTAATGGGACGGACTGGTCCGGTCTGAATCCGGACTAAACAGACAAACCGGATTGCTTAGCAGTCAGACAACATTTCACGCGATCGACATGCCTACTGTAGAAATTTCGTGCAACATGTCAATTTTTTACTATTGATATTGACCTAATTTTTAAAAAAGACCCATATTAATAATACAGTCACAGCGGACTATAATAATAATTAAATTCGGATTTTCCAATAAATCATCATTTCTATATTAATATTAATGTCGACATTTGGTAAGAAATTTATTACAATTTGATTTATTTTCTCCGATTATAACTATCATCTAATAATGATTTATATTTGTTTTCCTTAATCTGAATGAATCCGAATCACTCACCTTGAGAATTGTTTAAATGGACACTTCGTTGAATTTCTTCATACATCAAATTTATTCTTTCATCAAATCCATCAAATTTTGACTAATCTCTCGAGACAGAAAGCTTTTGTTGCTCCTTTAAAGAATGAATCACCATCTTGTTTTGTTTGTTTAAGAATGAAACATACAACCACAATGATTTAATACGTGGAAAATTTTGAAAAAATCAAAAAGGATCAGGAGAAGAATTATAATAAAATAGTTTTCTAATGGCATTTTTGGAAAATTCCTAAGATATTATTTGAGTCAAAAATAATAGATGAGTGAGTATAATGGTATTTAATTCACGAAAGAATCAAAGGTTTCCATTGGTAAACAAACTATTGATTAGATAATCAGAAAGTCGCAAGAGAATTTGAGGAGTATAGGTGACACGCATAATTTCGAGATCGTCGCGCACCGTGACAAATTATCATCTCGGGTCAATCAATCAATGAATGGTCTGATCAGGCTTTACAGGTTTAAGGTATTATTCATTTTTCTTCATATAGCATATATAAAATTTGCTTTTTTTAAATAATGTTTGTATGTATAGCATCATATTATAAACCTTACAAGGCATATCAAGTCACTAAACTAAGCCTTTTGGATATTGCAAAGCTATTGTTGAGGCTGTTATGGATGTTTCACCAGTTAAGAACATAGCAGAAAGAAGAAAAGCGGACAAAATGAATAATAATTTGTTATAATAACAAGATGAATTTTTATTATATTTATTTTCTGGCCTTAAGCCAGGTTTAGCATTTTATTGTAAGCATGCCATAAATATGTTCTAATGCATAATGTCATACAAATTGTATGCTTCATCTAGTGTAATTATGAGTTTAATAATTACCCATACATTGACAACTCATAAAACTGGAAAATAAAAAACTTTATTTACCCCAAAAAAAAAAATCTATCATATTAATAAACAGGAATTTAATTCTTAAAGGTTATTATTATAATTTAATTTGGAAAAAAATCAAATATGCAAAGAAAAAAGATTAAAAAATGAAAAAACCTTATAAAAAAGAATTTTTACCCTTTATGTTTTATTATACCATCTATAACATCTTGAATTCTTGTTAAAACTTCTTTTTCAGGCAAAGTTTTTTGTAGATCAGATTTCTCAACAACACCACTATTTGTAATGTTTGTTGGACTATCATCTGACAAGATGTCTAACTTTGATAGTTGGGCTGTCAGACTATCTAATGCATCCATAGCATCAAATGTGAAAATTTGGTCAGTTTTATTTAACAATGCTGGCGATGAAAATTTTTCAATCAAAGATGATGATGATCCAGGAGTAGTCATAGTTTGATTTTCAATTATCAAGTGATGTTTTAAAATTTTGATTATCTAAAAATTAATAGTTTAAAATAGGTACATATACATATACATATACATACATACATACATATATACATAAAGAGTAAAGAAAATCCAATGATAATAAATTTTGAAACCTCTCAAGCAAAATAAAACAATTAATTAATCAAACAATAATAAGATAATTTCAATTTTTTGGTTCAAAATTTTTTCATACCTGTAAAGCTTGAGAAAACAATTCATGATTTTCTGGAGTTTGTTGATTATTTTCTGCCAATTCTTCAACATTCATATGACTAGACTGTGTAGATGAATTACCAGAATTCCTTGAAGAAAAATCATTCATTAGAACACTAAGACGTGATCGTGCAAGAGATATTGGTGTTCTATCAAATGAATCATTTATTTTGATTTTTGCGCCTATATTTTGATAAACAAAATTTAAATATTGAAATTCTTTGAGATCATTTAATATATATTATAAATTTATAGTTTTTAATTTTTTTCTGGTACCTGCTTCCAGCAATGCTATGACACATTCCATTTTATTTGATATAACAGCTGAAACCAATTCAATATAAATAAAAAATGAGTTAATTACATAAAAACCAAATTCATTGTATATTCAAGCATCATTTATGTTTACCTAAATGTATTGGTCTATTTCCAGCAACATCAGCTTCAACATTAACATTTGCCCCATGTTCAATCAACAGTTGAACACAATTATAATAACCACCAGCACAAGCAAAATGTAAGGGAGTTCTACCTTTGTCATCTGATTTATTTAAGTCAGGTTGAGGAAGTGTTGAGAGTAATTTGATGACTTTTTTAAAATAGATAAATATTTATTTATTTTAATTATCATAGATTGCTTTAGAATAATTTCATATAAAAAAGAATGTGATTACCAGAATCACAATCTCCACGACTAGCAGCTTCTCTTAACTTTTCCTCCCTTAACTCAAGATCTAAAGCCATTTTAAATTTTCCTTTATTTACATCGTTATGTTTATGAGAAATACGTGGATGTAGTGTACGATGAAATAGTAATGAGGAAGTTGCATACGAGGGAAGACTTGGAGGTAAACTACGTTGTCTACGCGGAGGAGTTGGAGCCGAACTTTGATGTTGAAATAAAAAATTATCTTCCATTGCTTTAATAAACCATTAAACTATTTAAATTTAACACACAAAAAAAATTGCGCAAAACTCGTAGCACCACTTTTTTCCCTACTTGGGAATTTTTTGTTCGTCTAATGCTAGTATAATTTTGGTTTTGTGTAAAGGTGACCTAAGTACGGGAAATTTCTACCTATTCCCTGTGAACAGCTTTAATCTTCAAAAATCACATTAATGTTAACAAATATTAATAACGGGTTGTTAACGGATTACAATTAGCTTAATAATAATAATAACAATATTATTATTATGCTAAAGTGAAGCCTTTTTAACCACATTCATTTATCCAAAAATCCAATTCTACCTGTTAAACAATAAATTTTTTTTCATTGAGAAACATGGCTAGTTTGCCTTCAAATGAATTAAAAAAGCAAAAAATTACAGACAAATGTGTAGTTGGATGAGCATAGTGGACTTTCGTTTTATCACTTCAGTCAGCCCTACGGTTTTTATTCATGAATATCATGAATATCATTAAGGTGGTTACACGCTATTAAAACAGCAAAAAATCCCTTAAAAACATGAGTTGATCGCTTGATTTTAATAGTGTGTGACCATGTGTGACTCCCTTATGATATTCATGAATACAAACCCTAGTCAGCCCTACAAAAAGTTTAGGGGCTTAAAATGTATTTAAAACATGCTTAAAATCTACTTGAAGGTGCTTAAAATGTGCTTAAAACATACCTTTTTTAATAATGAACAAAATTAAGTATGTTTTAAGTAACCTTTTAAGTGTACTTTAAGTGTATTTCAAGTATGCTAGTTTACCATCAAAAGTATGCTTTAAGTATATTTTAAGTATATAGTATATTTTAAGTGTGGTTTGAGTATAATTTCATATACTTAAAACACACTTAAAGTGTTCTTGTTCTCTTCCATCAGTATATTTAAGTATATTTTAAGTATATGATGTATATTTTAAGTGCATTTTAAGTATCTAAACTTTGTGTAGGGCAGGATTATTCCCCGAAATGGAAGTTCCTTTAAAGTAGGGATCTATGGAACAGAAAAATTCCAGAAAATTCTTTTTGATCAGCAATTTTATTATTATTATATGCTAAATTTGGTATTTCCTAATTTATAAACGATAAACGTTCTGGAATTTCTTTAGAAGAAAATTTGATTGGCTAAATTTATGCAGATCCTTTCATTAATAAATATAAACAATCTTTAAAGGAAGAGAAAAACAAGAAAATCATGGCGAGAGCTTTATTGACTGGTCATAAACTTCCGAATTATATGGGACTAAACAATATGAGATGACATTTTTGCAATTTAACATATATTATATTATCCTGATAGATAATTTTAATATATATATATGTACACATTAATTTTTTCTGTAATAGTTATTTAATAATAATAAAAATAATGTTTATTATAATTATAACCAAACAAGTTATTCTTTTACCCATTAAATATAATTAATATACACAAATAAATGTGTTTATAATTTATAACTGACCAAGTTATTCCTTTTACCTATTAAATATAATATACACACATAAAAATCAGTAACCTGATAAATGATTTTAATATTGTATACAAATTCAATAATTTTTTTTCTTTACCTGCAAATTCATTGATATCATTGATATCTCATTTAATCCAAAAAAATTGATAATAAAAATAATCAATTAATATTAATTATGCTCTCTGATCATGACTAAATTATTCACTTTACCCATTGAATATATACATATATAAAAATTGGTATAATATTCCTAATAATTCATAAAACAATAAATATATAAATAAGTTGTTTAAAAAAAAATTTTTTTAAGTAATCCTTACATGTGTTACCAGAATTAAACGATAACGAAGATATTTTGGCCGAATCCTTTAATTTCGGGTCAATTTAAATTTTATTTCTATTTTTATTTTTTTATCATTTGAATTCGTGTTACGTTATTATTATTATGTTATAACGAGCTTTTAACATTTTATTATTAATATATAACGCGACTATATAGTAAATTTGTTATAACGGATTTTATATTAATATTTAATA